ATTTCTAGACTGTGAAGAATATTGTCATATCACTACTCCCACTTCTACTTTCAGTTTCATTGTGTCTGAAAAGCTGGTAATTCAAGTTTGTTATCTATAACCTAAGGCATATGACGGGGTTGCCTAAAGAAATCTCTGGAATTCTATGACGAGCCACGCGTTGAGTCTTAATGGTGGCAGACCTGTAGAAAGGTATAGGCTATGAGATTGAAGAAGCTATGAAACCCCAACAACTGTCCGCCTTTGTTCGGTATTCATCGGCTAGAGAATCTTCTGTCGTCAGGAGACTTCAAAATGCAAGACGCGACTGTGTTTTGACGAAAGCAGTAGTGAGTCGAGGGACCCTAGTAACAGATACACTGTTGCAACCCTTGTATATGCTGGATAGAACAATCGCAGGAAGATGAAAGGAAATATCTTTGCCTCGAGGGCAATGGAGATCACAGGGATATGGTGGCTTCGGTGAGAACTGTCGAGATGTGGAGAAAGGGGGTCTAGAATTCTTTACATCGTGAGACACACAAGCGAGCCACGACTACAGAAATGTCTGGAATCCAAAAAAAGATGACCTTCCTAGGGAAAGAATAATTTATAAAAAGACACACCCCTCATAGAGGAGGAAAGGCGTCCACTCGAGAGGCGACTTGTGGAAATTATTGCTATTGCTGACGACGCCGAATATATATTCCAAATTGGAGCTAACGATTGTCCATAAAAAGAAAATGCAACCAGAGAAGACACTCCGAAGAATGCCCAAAGCATGCCACCACGGCTTCACATCTCGAGGACGGTCGCCAACATGGCTTTTGTGGTTTGTTTAGGAATGGCGGATACGGGCATAATATCTCTCTAGCATAGTGTTCCCGTAGTCGAATACCCTGAAAATGGTTGGGAGTGACAGTAGAGCACCGTATCACTCTGGGAAGCCCTCTAATGCCATGGTTTCATAATTGCACGGGCATCGAACACTGTGCATCTAAGCTGCCCCCTTCCTTTTTCTCATATGCCACTACTGGATTGCACGAGGTGTCTAGTCCTTTTCGCAGGTTTCGAGGTTACAAGCCGACGATATCGTTTCCCACAGGTCACGGTGATTGATTGCAGTCTGCTCGTGTCAGTCGCGAATTTTCATAAACTTCTGGATGTCAAATTATCCTTTAACAACTCAAGTACCGTCGTTGAACTGTCACGTCGTGCTCAATGACACACCAACTTACCACAGAAAAGCAGCTGAAGTAGGACGAGTACGACCTCAGTCTTCCTCGAAGTCAAAAACCAGAAGTTCGGTGTTTGATATCTTATTTCCTCGGTTAACATCTGGGTCCATCGTCTTTAACGGTCTTCTGCAAGCATGGAAGATCCCTTGAGTTACAAAGCAGCAAATGAGAAATGACTGGCTGGGCCGCCATGATCGTCGCCCACTTGTGGCACCGGAGGCGCCCAGGTTTGCCAAGTCAACAAAGCACTTGACGGTGTGATGCCGCCCTTGCTTGAGACATCATGATCTTCTGATAGATGTGCAACAAGACCGTAAGCGAACTTTCGACTTTCCTCATTCCTTCCGACCACATAATTAATACTGCTGGAAGAGCTCCCTAAAAGATAACAACCTATAAATCCGCATTCGTCTCGGTCCAAACAACCAAGCTCCCTTCGCAAACCCTCATCATACTTTTCAGGCTTTCCCTCTTCTTTCTACCACCAACGATGTTGCCTACACACATCTTCATGACTTTGCTCTTCACGTTTGGAGCTTTTGGAAAATGCCTTCGGGACGCGTATCTACCAGGCTCGTATAGCTGGCGGAACAGAAACGTCAACATAGATTCTGTGTGCGCAGAGTTTGCAGGCGATTTCTCCCCGGATCACTTCAAGACGAAGTGCGTTGAAGACAAAAGCGGCAGGAGATGGGACTTTGAATTGAAGGTTCGTCCATGCCCGAATGCATTTGATTGCGACTTTCAGCATATATCGCCATCTAGCGCGATCAAATGACACCATTAACGCCATGGTTGTTTTAACAAAGAAGACCCGTTGCTGACCTCATGTTGTCATAGTTCATTGGCACCGGCCAAAAAAGTCGTCACATCAGCGAAAGAGAGTGCATGGGCGGCATGGAGTCCGAAGCCATAAAGTGCCGCAATGGTGGGCACACGAAGTATACTAATTGGGAATACAAGTGAGTTTCAGGTCGGACATATTCATGAGCAAAAGAAAGGATTCTGACGGCTTTTGGTAGGGTTGTGCCTGGGCAACGTTGGCCGGAGAAGGAGGTTGGCTGTAAGGGGTGACTGAGGTGACAGCAGCCTGGGATAAACAAAGCTCTGTTTGGCTCAAGCTGAAAGCTGTCCTGATTTGAACGACCTGTACGCTGGATCAAATCATCTTTCCTTTCTCCCTTGTACCGAACATTTGAAAGATGGTTCCTTGATTTTTAGGAAAATAACACGACATTCGCTGAGGTTGGTGGCTATCAGTGCCCTTCAAGCGGATTTGATTCGGGCTGCAGGAAGTTGGATCATTCCTGCAGCGCCTCGTGTTCTTTCCGCTGCTGCCTGGACTTCCCAGCCCACAATAGACAGAAAACGGCATCGCTCAACGCCCTCGCACGGGCCATTTCCTAAGCGATGAGTGGGCGCCCTTGCCCGAAATAGTACCTACTTCGAAAAGGAGATCAAGTCTGTTGAACATGAGAAATCTGGCTTCACCACGACTGCCTGGTAGATGTTGCCACTGTAAGCACATGGAGTCTTCATATATGCTCGATAAACCCCCAGGTCTATGTTTTCGCGAATGCGCGTAGCCAACTACGTTACTGCCAGAAACAAGACACCGCCCGCCTTCATCACCAATTTCCGATCATCATGGAGCGAAACCGCCACTCTGGTCGTGGTCTCGGCGTGCTTGGGACGCTAATCGTTGTCTTTTCAACCATACACTTTGCCACCGCGGTAGAATGTTGGGGTGGTCTGTCAGAGTATCCTAACGTGTTTGTCATTGTGAGTCATTATCAATGTTGAAGTTGGGGGATTTTGGCTCAACCTGAATCATCAGAACATCGGCCGCTCGCATTCGACTGTTGGAGCTGCGTGGCCTGGCCTCAGAAAGATACCAGACGGAAACACAAGTTTGTATCATGCGATGAAGAACTCGGGAATTCAAACACTAACTCAGCACCAGAGTGGATGCCCTTCCCAGAGGACACAACTTTACCTGATTTCTTCCTATCTGGACAGGAACCAAATTTACAGAGTGCTCTATTTGATTCAAGGTATTATTTGTCCCAAGAAGTGGTTCAGATATTGAAGGCTTATCATAAATAGCCACATGGTTTGCCATAAAGACGAGCCGGACTTTTTCATGGCAAGAACGTTTGAAAACCCACCATCGGATCCGAAGAACTTTGGCGAGAATTTGTTGTCTAACGAAACCCTCCTAGCTGTCCTACAGAAATCCAAAACGATAGCAGAAAGCTGGCTTGGAGAATCGTCAAAAACGACAGTTATTGCCGTCCCAGAGGCTTTGATATCTGATCCAATACGTGCACTTCTGAAGCAACTCGGCAAAGAGATTGGACTAGACGTTCTCAGAGTTGCCAGCGCTCTTACATCTGCAGCCAGAGGCCACAAGTTGGATGTCGGACTCTACGACGAAGAACCCTTCCTGATTTTCAATATGGGTAGAGAGAACTTTGAAGTCTCGGTTATCGACATTGACCAGGGAGTCGTCGAAGTTTATTCCTCGTCGATGGACAACCACTTGAGCAAAGCTTTCGGACCCTTTGCGTATGAGCTCGATGATAGAGCCAAAGGAAACTCTGCCAAAGAAGTCGTCGACCTCGTTGGGCATGTAATTGAGGAGGCTAATCTCACGAGGAGGGACATTCCACGGGTCATTATGACTGGTGAATATACACAGCATCCGGCCATCCGTGCTTTGCTGGAGGAGTTCTTCAACTACAACTCTTCAGTCGAGTACTTCGTCCACAGCGAGTGGCACGACACAGTCACTCTGGGAACTGCCATGATTTCCAGGATTCTCACGGGAAGAGCATGCGGAGAAGTTCAATATATGTCTATGGTTCTTCCACGCTCCATCGGAGTCGGGATTGCCGGCGGTGTTACCAGCCAGATGGTTCAACGAAACACGCCCATTCCAACGGCGAAGATACTCAACTTCACAACCACTTTCCATAACCAGACAGTCGTCACAATTCCAATCGTACTAGGTGGTTTTGTCGCCACTGCGAAGAACCAGAGGATCGCCACCCTGAAGCTGGAAGGCATTCCTCCTGCTCCCCGAGGCGAGCCGGTCATCAGTGTCCGCATTACCATCTCAGAAGATGAAACTCAATACGCAGCTGTACTCTTGTCGGCAAATGCAACTTTAATTGGCTCTCAAGGGAATACCTCGATCGATCACCATATGATTTTGGACGACTGGATTAGTTGGGATGATGACGAATTGTACCACCTTATCCTGCAAGAGGAGGCAGAGAAAGATTTTCGCGACGATATCTGCCGAAAAAGTCCTTACCTAGACTCCGATGAAAACACCCAAGTTTCGAATGAAGACTTTGACAATCTAGATGACTGGTGGGTGACGGATAGACTGAGAGCGAAAGCAGATGTGCAGAATGGACACGCTGCTCGTGCACTTTGTTTCTATGAGAAGGCATTACCTTACTTTCCCATTGGACATTCCGGGCTTCACCAAGAGATCAAGACTCTATGGAAACAAATACCAGAGCGGATGGATCACAGTGCATTTCACGGGCCGGAAAATGCATTTCGTAGTCGGTTGGTAAGCGACTGCTACCGTCAGTATCCATGACAGCAAGTTCGTCATCTTAGCTGTGGAGATGATTGGTCTTTCGTATGTAATTGGAACTCAAGATAACAGAAACTGCTGGACAATCTGAAGGCAACACTTCAATACCACACCAGGCGTTCCACCTTCCACGAAACCCATCTGGTCCGACACACACTGAATACGTTAAATCATCTTCTCTCAATTTCCTCAACTTCCAGATTCTTAACATCTGCCTCGGCCTCCACTCGCTCCGTGGAGAAGGGCTTTCGCCGCAGTTGAGCCCAAACAATCTTGTGAGTAGGCCTCATGAATAAAGCGTCCATGTCCTCAAGCGAAATTCCTGGAAATAGGAAGCATTAGCAATCATAATCCCAAGACATCGGGAACGTCCCAAGGGAATCATACCTTTGGTTTCTGGAACGAAGGCAAATGCCCAAATACCCATGCCGACCAGGATAGCACTAAAGAAGAAGTACGCTCCATAGCCCAGATCAGAAATCATGTACGGTGTTGTTCGTGCGATTATGAACGATCCGACCCATGTGTCTGCTGTCGTGAGAGCTACGCACAGCATGCGGATGTCCAGGGGAAATATCTCAGAGCAGACCGTCCATGTAATCCCCTGTGGCTCGGTTAGCTGTCTATTGTGTGAAGTAACATTCCTTCAACTGAACATGTCGCTTACCTGCCATGTCGCCGTGATGATGAATCCATGGATGTAAACGCAAGTGATAGCGAGGTATGCCCAGCCGTCCTTAGCGACAGGTCTTCCAGCTGCTGCTGCCTCAATGGGGTTGGCTTTCATGACGTACGATCCAATGTAAAACATCGGGATACACCCTAACGCCGAACCCCATATCATGCCTTTGCGTCGTCCAACCTTCTCAATTACGAGAACCGTAAAGGTGATCATACCGAGGGTCTTTGCGACTCCATAAAACCCGGTCGAGAAGAGCTTGGTGGAGGTCCCAGTAACGCCGAGTGTTTCGAAAATCCGAGGGGAATCTAGACGATCGCGGACCCATTAGCATGGTGCCATTTGTTGGTTAAAGCGATATCAGACTTCCATCACCTCTGAATCAGCTCTAGGGAACTTTCGACTCACAATACATAAGGATGTTCACACCAGTAAAGCTTTGGAGGAACATCAGAGCCAGCCCGATACCGAGGCGGTTCCGAACACCCTTTTCAAATAACTTCTTCGCCTTGGCGGTTTTGCTCATTCTCGTGGTGCTTCGTTGCTCAATCTGGGTCCGTATCTCCCCCATCTCGTGTCTGATGTAAGAATGATCACTCTCAAGTCCTCGGATCATGGTCAGCACGCGTTCCGCTGACTCGTAGTTGTCGCCCTTAGCCAGCCACCGAGGGCTTTCTGGGCAGAACATCATGCCGACAAATAAGAGAACCCCAGGTACCAATTGGAAAGCCAGAGGAACTATCCACTGCGTCTTGGCGTCGTTGGCTACAATCTGGTCGGTTGCGTAATTGATCCAGAACCCGAGCATCCCTCCGCCTTGTGAAGCGATCTCAAATATCCCGATCAGACGGCCCCGAATGGATGGTGGGGCTGTTTCGGCTATATAAACTGGCACGACGAGGGCACAGGCTCCGATGCCTAAACCAGCGACGGCGCGACCGCCAATGATCATGTTCATGTTGCCATTAGATGCTGTCATTATTGTACCACCAAGAAGGAAGACGCAGGACGCGATGAGGATGGCTCGTTTGCGGCCTAGCTTTTCTGCAATAGGGAAGGTTAAGAGCGAGCCGAAAAAGCAACCAGCCTAGAAGCCATGAGGTCAGCTCCATATTCAACCTCAATGAGAGCAGCCTTGGAGAGGCTCGGGGATAGGCAACTTGCATAGAATGTAGAGACGATGTTGCTTTGGACTTCATCCCTCTTGGACTGCGTGGCATCGAGGAGTCCAAAGTCCCTGACGAAGGAGTCGAGAGCCATCGTCCCACCGATCACGGCACTGTCGTAGCCCACTGCATCGGTTAGAAAGTTTTGTCGAATTCAATGGACGACGATGAAACGCGGTCTTACATGCTAGAGCTGACATGGAAGCCACAAGTGCGATGAAATGGATGCGCCAGTTCCGCACTTCCGGTGGGTCGTTCGTCCCCGAGGCGTGAGTGTTGAAGCACCCCATGTTCAAGCGCCACAACACGAGGCCTGATTTCTGGCGAAAATTTGGATGATGCTCTGAGATATGAAGACTTTGAAGTCTGAGAGCTTGAGAAGCAGTCACGAGGCTTCAAGTCATCTGGCTGCTGTGCCTGGTCTATGAGGAGGAACATTTCTCGTAGCTCAACTCACCCTGACGTCTTAAATACACTGAGACGGCTCTCAAATGTGCACCCCGCTTGATACATCCTCATGCTCGTGATCCTTGGCATAATTCTTGGATGGCATGTTTGCTAGGTTCCCCGCGGGGTTGAGAAAACCTGGGGAACCAAGCAGCCTATGACCGTGGGAGGTTATGAGCTTACAAGCTCTCTGTGGCGCCAGAACTGAGTCCGGGGAAGCGTCAGGTGGGGAATGAGCGGCGTTTTTGGTAGATCGAAACTGTATCAAGCTTATTTCCACATCGCAAATGTCAGATGAATGTGCCCTCAGAACTAGCCAGGGTCGCGGGCTTGTGCAACTCATTCCACCTATCAACGAGATCGCCCCAACATGCCAAGAGCAAGTAGATAGTCCTCTCTTCTTAGAAAGGACTTTGCCATCGGATCAGTTCCGATACATGCTTGGCATGGAGTCTTATGACATGTCTCGTAAGATATAGGCTATGGTGGACTCGTAGTCTCTGGTCACGAGATGAGATTGTAAAGCATGCAAATGCTGAGTAGACGTAGAACAGAGAAAAGTATTATTGATCATTAAAACAATTCTATATCCCCTGTTATATCAATACATCACCGCAGTAGATATTTCCAAGATCAAAGCCATGCTCAAATAGATCGTTCCAAGGAATATCAGCGCTTGGCGTCGGCTGAGCCGAACTATGATCTGTTGGATGGTGACCTTTCAGACCAAACCAAGACATGAACTCCGTGTCCACTTGGTTATCAGCAGTGTCAAGATTGCTCTCGAAGAAGGGCAAAGTGGCCCTTCCCAATCTTTGAATAATCCCCACGCTTCTTTCTACGACCGCTCCTCCATGGGAGATATCCCGAAGTAGTGTCGTACACGACCTGATGTTGGACTCCACTACGTCGCGCGTGAGCTCTTGTCTCAAAGCAGCGCTGGCTCTGAGTGAGTACAACATGGTAACGCCCGCCATGAACAGTGACGTAAGCGCAACGAATGTGTACGTGACTTTGTTTTTGGCATAAAGCGCCGCATAACAGCTGATGAGGCTTATCGACGAGTCCGCGCAATGACGCAGGGCTTCGATGGTACTGACAGGCGACGCATGTGATGGCCTGTAGAGGTTCATAATCGCTTGGTGATAGGCGATTTGGAACCACTCAGGTGTTTGATGCATAGATGTTGGGACCAAGTAGCGAGGGGCCGAGACGAGCCATTGGTTCAGTCTGGTGTGGTGTTGAACTCGGATAACGTCGATGTTGCTCCCTGCAAGGTTCGTGTCTCCTGCGGAGTGCAGTGATTTATAGATATCAGCATTGATGCGGCGGAGCTCGATGATGTGAAGGAATGTTGACAAATCGTTCACATCGGGGCCGAAGCTCAATGGTGTTTCTTGAGATGGGTTGGCGAGAACGTCATCAGAAAGAGATAAGGGTAGCGGCATGGTGATATCTGCATCTTGAATCCCAAGGGGAAGGCCGAGAGACATTGAGATGCCCCGGTCCATGGTGTAGACACACCAAAAAAGCCTCTTACACATTTCTGCTTCAAGAGCCTCCTTGGAGGCGATTGTCTCAACGCGATGCAGATTCATGCCTACAGCAAGCCGTAGGGCCAAGCCGATCGCATACCATAGGTTGACCGACTGGGGCTCATTATTGCCGTAAATGCAGAGCAACAAGAGACACTGAACGCTGTCAAAGTCATCCGTTGCTAGCGCACCTCCCAGACTGGCGGTGGCCGACTGAAAGAAGTCATCTTGCAACTGTCGATGTCGCTCATCTGTGCGGGCCCTTTCCGATGCTGCGATAGCGAGGACGATGTTGACTTGAAATAGGGACAAGTCATCGACTGCCTCGCCTTGAGAGAAGGGCAGATAGTGTTTCTCAAGAAATGTGGGTTTGTGTAGGGCAGGGAATTGAGGCCATCGACGACTGAAAAAGCCCTCAATCAAGTAGTTGTTGTCCTGTAAACTTGGGTGTATCAGAGATACGGGACCTTCCGGCGTTCGTCCGGTCGAAACACCATCCCACAGACGGGACGGGCTGTTTAGAAGACTCTCTTCTCCAGTTCTCGATGCTCCTGCTCCTGAAAAGGTAGGACGTAGTAGACGATCGGTATGTATTCCTTCCAAACCGTGCCCTTGATGAGATGAGTGTTGACCGGCACCGGTGTCCAGGCTATTTGCAGTTGGTGGGTGTATTGAGTCCGTTGCAACATCTCCGTTGGCAACCGCAGCCATCAACGCCTCCAGCTGCGCGGTGAGATTCTCCACTTGACTTCGGAGCCGGTCACATTCGCAGTCAACATTGGCTACACGGACAAGGAAGCGCTCCGAAGGTACGCATGGCGTGCCTGCCGCCGAGCATTGCCCGCATATCGGAAGTTGTCCGTCGCACTTTGCATGAGCCCCTGTCAGTTGCTAGACATCTTCAGGCTGGTGAAGTCGAAGCCCTTCTTACCTTTTGCTTTCTTCTCCGACACCTCTCGCACGCTGCGACTCCACGTTTGAGCCCCCGCCGATGGGTTGTTGAGCGTGTCCGGGGGTTGGAGCTAGGCGTCGGGATATTGTCGGCCTGAGCCGGTGAGGAAGATGGAGAGGCCCCGTCGGCGGTCGTGTCTTCAGCCATGGATGATAAAGACTATAACGCTCTCACTTCAATTCAATCTTAGTCTCTTTCATTCATGAGAAGTTCGTCGCGATCGCATTCCGGGGCATACTGTCTTCGGTCTGAGAAGGACAAGAGCCTGTGAAAGAATTCGGGGTCACTCCGTCGGATCGATCCGAAGACCCCGTGCAGAGAGTGGGGCTTCGCTGCCTTCGGGAAAACGCCGCTGATGACGGGCTTTACCCGTTCGCCCCTCACTGTCTGTAGCAAGTGTGTGGGATGTACCTGCGCGTCATGTTGGCTGCTGCGTCTCCTCAGAAGAATTCCAGAATATCAACTGCCTTTTCTGTCCTCAATAGGCAAAAACCAAGTCCAGGTAGGGCATTTGCTAGTAAGGCCACAATGAAGTAAGTTATCGGATTCAACACTGAGCTGATTCCTAACTCTCTCAAGCCCACCCAAACCGAAATCGGCCCCGCCATGTCTCTCGGCCGACTGCTGGGACACGCATGTTCATGTCTTTGACTCAGCAATCGGACCCTTCGCAGCATCCCGGGCTTACACCCCGGCCGAAGCGACCCTTCAGCAGCTTTTGGACTTCAGTTCACGTTTGACAAAAGACAAAGCGCTCAACATCGTATTGGTTCAACCATCGCCATATGGCAACGATAACACTGTGTTATTGCATTTTCTGCGAAAGCTTCGCGATGATGGGGCTCAGTCTCCCCGAGGTATTGCGGTGGTTGACATCGCACACACTAGCGATGAAGAACTTTGGGCAATGAATAACCTAGGTATCCGTGGGCTTCGGATTAATGTGCAAGTCGATGGAAAGAGTACCGACGTTGAAGCTCTCCGCAGAGTGGTCGTCGAAACAGCCGCAAGGATCAAGGCCCTCCCCAACTGGAAGGTTCAGCTCTTTTGCGCTGCGTCAATATGGGATGGTACCGTGCCCATACATTCACCTTGATACCAAACGTCTCTTAACTCGATTCAGATCTATTTGATACCATATCCGACCTTCCAGTCGAAGTCATCGCCGACCACGTAGGCGGACTGCGGGGCTCCTCTAAGCTAGAGCCAACTAGTGGAACGCAGGCGATTGATCCGACCGAACAGCCCGGGTTCGGGTCTCTGGTCAGACTGGCTGAAGCTTCAAAAGTGATCATCAAAATCTCAGGACTTTATCGACTCTCAAGCCATGCAGAGTCCGGATACGACGACATGGAGCCGGTTATCAAGGCCCTGGCTGAGAGAGTACCTGATCGGTTAATTTGGGGCAGTGACTGGCCACACACCGGCGAGGGCAAGGATCGCTTGAAACGAGGGAAAGATGCCATCGAGGAGTTCCGAGTAATCGACAATGATCTGATTGTCAGAAATCTCAGAACTTGGATCGGAAGCGAGGAGACATGGGGGAAGGTCACGGCGAGAAACCCGAAGAAGTTTTATGAGTAGCGAAACACCCCTGTTCAAACCACAATTTTGTCGGGACTATGTGTTTCGCCAACAAAAGCATCACTTCTTTCAGATATGCAACGGGCAACAAGTCATTCATGAGTGAGGTTGGAAATATTACACCGATGAACGCGGCAATCATTGCAGGCGTCTACACATAAAGCCGGCATTGAGGTATCGGATGTAACCGAAGAGCCAACCTCGGAGACCGTAAACACGGGCTAAACCCGTCTCGGTTACTGCGTTGCACTCCATCCGGATTTCGTCCCCTTAATGCTCAGTGAGTGCCTTCTGGTGAATCAATCTTTGACAACTAATTTCACTGGCGAAATGGCTTCAATCAGAGCTTTCAGCGGCCGAGGCGCCCGCCCGCTAGCACAATTCACCACATCATCAGCTCGCTTCTCTTCAGCGGCTTCAACATCCACCAAGCTCCAAACTCGCGCCCAGAGCAGTTTGCCAGCAGCCTACTACCGCGGCGGCACATCCCGGGCCATCTTCTTCCGCCATGAGGACCTCCCGGCCGACCGCTCCGAGTGGGACCGCATTTTTCTCGGCAGCATCGGCAGCCCGGATCCGTACGGTCGGCAACTCGATGGTCTCGGCGGCGGCATCTCCAGTCTTTCCAAGGTCTGTGTCATCAGAAAGAGCGACCGGTCCGATGCAGATGTCGACTACACATTCGTTTCACTCGGCATCAAGAATACCAACGTCGATTATTCCAGCAACTGTGGCAACATGAGCGCTGCAGTGGGTCCCTACGCGGTAGACTCCGGTCTGGTTGAGGTTCCCGACGGAGCGACTGAGGCAACCGTGCGGGTCTTCAACACCAATACCGGCAAAGTCATCGAATCCATCTTTCCTCTGGATGGGAAGGAGGCCGCTGCTCATGGTGACTTTTCTATTGACGGCGTCGCGGGTACGGCGGCTAGGGTGCGGCTGAAGTTTCTTAACCCTGCTGGGTCTCGGACTGGGAAGCTATTCCCGACGGAGGCTAAGGTGGACGAGATTGAGGGCATGAAGGTCACTTGCATCGATGCTGGCAATCCTTGTGTCTTCGTCCAGGCTGTGGCTCTTGATGTCGAGGGAACCATCACTCCTCAGGGGATTGAGGATCACCCAACACTTTTGCAGACATTGGACCAGATTCGCCGAACCGCAGGCGTAAGAATGGGTCTAGCCAAGACCAATGACGATGTACCTGGAAGTGTCCCGAAGATCGCCATCGTGTCGCCACCCAAGGACGGGAAGACCAACACCCTCGTTGCGCGGGCGATGTCGGTCGACCAGCCTCACAAGGCCATTCCTGTCACTGTTGCGCTGGCTGCGGCTGCAGCTGCCACTGCAGAGGGCACAGTCGTATCTGAGTGTGTTAAGACAAATGCTGGAGCCGGTGGTGATGTGAGGATATTTCACGCGAGTGGGACTTTGGACGTAGCTGCGGATTATGGAAAGGACGGATCTCTGGAGTCTGCGACCGTGTACCGAACTGCACGCAGGCTCATGGAAGGGAGGGTGTTCTGGAAGTAGAAACTTTTGGCGCAGACTCGAACAGATGAGACTATAAAGAACAGCAAGGCTATCCAACAATATTTGTTGCCAAGCAGAGATGTGTGCACACATACGCCTAGCCTCTTGAACAATTGGCTAATCCAGCGTCACAGAGAGTCTGCAAGCATGGTAGCCAAGAAAAGTGCAATAAAAACAGGGTAACACATGTTGCGTCAGCATGCAGTGTATCCCTTGCTTTGTGGAAGCCTTAGGCTCGAAATCAATCAGCATCTGCTTTCCCCTCTTCTAGACTCCCTCCTTGTCATCCAGCCCCCTGACTTCTGAGGTTTCCCGATGAATCTTACCCACTCTTGTGTCGTTACTGGTAGACCACATGTAATCGCTAGCTCCGAAGGCTTCACTTTACAAGCTGAAGATGTGGCTGATCGACACCAGTGATCTTGAGTCTCTTCACCTTGTGGAGTTTCTCGGAGACCCTCCCGATAGCTACGCTATCTTGTCCCACACATGGGGTTCCGATGAGATAACATTCGAGCAATTCAATGATCTGAAATCGTCTGCGAATCGAGCTGGTCAGAGTCGGCTAGTGCACGAAGATGGTAGTCCGTCCAGTCTCAGTGGCTACCAAAAAGTGAAGGGGGCAGCCAGTTTAGCGAAAAGGCAGGAATTTACATACCTATGGGTCGATACATGCTGCATCAATAAGGCCAGCAGCGCCGAACTGTCCGAGTCTATTAACTCGATGTACCACTGGTATAAGAACGCTACAGTATGCTTCGCGTACCTTTCAGATGTCAGCCCTGGCGTAACCCACGATCTGTCTGGAATAGGGTCCGAATTCCGCGGTAGCCGTTGGTTCACCAGAGGATGGACATTGCAGGAGCTCATCGCGCCTCGGGTCGTAGAGTTCTATGCTTCTGACTGGTCACATATTGACACCAAAAAGGTAAGTAATAAACCCCACTCCTAAAAGATCATCCTCCTCATATTATGCAGGCCACCAATATTCCGTTTTGTGGGATTTTGTCTGAAATCACCGGCATTGACATTGATGTTCTCGCCGGCAGAACGGCCTTAGACGACGCCAGCATAGCCGATAAGATGCGGTGGGCTGCTAAGCGTAAAACAAAGCGCAGAGAGGACATGGCCTACTGTCTCCTTGGTTTATTCGATGTCAATATGCCTCTACTATATGGAGAAGGCTCTAAAGCCTTTATACGCCTCCAGGAAGAGATACTGAAAGACACCAACGATCAGTCTATATTTCTATGGGCAATAGAATCTGACACAGCATTGGAAATGGACACTCTCCACGGATTACTTGCAAACTCCCCCGAAGAGTTTTCGCGCCTTGAGTTGAATCACGTTCGCGCAATGCCGCCATTGGAATCGAACGAGAGCGTGCCAGCCAGCATCACAAGCCAAGGTCTCCGGACAAGTATACTGCTTATCCCAATTACAGGGGACGATCACTATGCCGTGTTGGACTGCACCGTTTCCACTTCTCATACACCTTTCGAAAACCAAGCCCCGTGTATATTCCTTAGACGCCTATGGGGTGACCAGTTCGCCCGGATTCCTTGGTCAGTATCCTACGGGGTGCAACTTGTGCCAAGCAATCTCGAGGGGTTTCAGCGGGAGGGCACAATCACCACGATCTACGTTAAGCAGACTCCCTTCTACATTGTGCCGGGAATTGCAATCAGAACATACATTCAGACGGATCAAGCCAACGCCTTGTCTTCGTCATTCTCGATTATAGAGGCGTATCCGGCAGAACGATTCAGCACCACACAGTCCACAGTGCTGACTGGGGAGCCACAATCAGGGCGAACGATTGTCATATTGCGTTTCGGAAACAAGGACAAGCAGCTGCATAAGCCCCTTGCCGATGTCGCTGTTGGCTTACTTCGCGTTGGTAGGCGATGGGAAGTGCAGTATGAGAAACACCCTTACATTGGCACTGAGCTCAAGGATGTGTACCAAAACAACTCACACATCAGAGTCGATTCGAAAGCAGAATGCAACAGCCCTGGAGAAGAAGGGCTTTTGACAATTTATACGACAGAACAAAAGCAACGCGGTAGGAGGTTCGTGCATTTAGAGGTCTTTTGTACGCCGCAGCTCAGTCCTCGGGCTGTCACTTTGACCAATGGGGTCGGGTACGCGATAGTGAGCACAGAAGCCGACTTTCCAAAGACGAGCTTTGTGAAAGACATTGCCAATCTAGTCTCATCTACGACACGACAGTGCTGTTATCAGGATACATTCTCTCGAATACTTTCCAGTGACTCCCCATTCACTGAGGGTGTCAGGACACGGCCAGTCGAACGCGGTCGTGATTTTGCATCCTGTCTCACTTCGGATGTTATCAGCCAAGGCAAACCATATGCGGACATGGTGCGTGCGATACATGAAAAGGATTTATCCAAGATCAAATCTCTGGCTTCTCGAAATAAAGCTCTGATTGAGTGCCAGACGGAGGAGTTCGACGACTTTCGGCCTCTTCACTGGGTGGCTGCTCAGTGGACTTCTGGAGATGAACTTCGTGCTATCAAAAAGCTGGTCAACCTCAAGGTGGACATCAGAAGTCGAACGAGAAGCGGATGGATGGCTATACACTTGGCCATTTTAACCGAAAACTTTCCAATTGTCCTCTACCTGTTGGAAAAAAGTAGACGGTCGCGCGGCGAGTGGAACTTGACAACTACAGCAGGGGAAACCCTCTCGCACTTGCTTGCCGCGTATGCCCAAGACTTCTTCTCATGGGGCGATGTAGACTGGATGTCAAATAATTCGAAGGGGAAGGTCATAGACGCCTTGATCGTTAAGAGCATTGCGGAAGCTCGGGTTAATTCTCGCGGTGAGCTGCCTATTCACCGGGCCGTTGCCAATGGGAATACCTCTGCATTGGCTATTGGGAAGCTATTCGAAGCCAGTTCTATCAATGCCAAAGACAACGCTGGTCGCACTGTTCTTTTTCATGCGGTTTGTGGAGGAAACAACGAGATCATTCGGAAATTAATCGGCATGGGGGCCTCACCTGAAATTCCCGATTCTCAGGGTCGAACATTGGCACATGCAGCAGTCATGGCTCGCCAGCCCGGCGTGTTGGGTATGCTTCTGGGCCTCGGCGCCGACCCAAACGCGACCACGGCTGCTATCGGTCTAACACCGCTTCATTTTGCATGCCTCTATGGATTCTTGGACTGTGTCACAGCACTATTAGATGCTGGGAAACCTGCCGTTTTAAATTCTTGGTCAACTGATGGTGCGTCGTTTCAGCCAGTACACCTTGCTGTTGCAAATCGACAAGCAGATTGCATCCAAAAGCTTATCAAGGCTGGGTGTAGCATCGACGGCAGTTGCAATAGCTATTTGAAATTGAAGGAGCCACAAGGAGACCGTCTAGATGAGGCTGAAATTGCATTTCTTCCGAAGCCTATGTCGCTTCTAGAGCTTACCATGTTCTTGGGAAACATAGAAATAGCCTCTTTGGTGTCGGAGCTATCCAGAGAGATCGCACACCCGTGGCCATTGAATTGAGCTAACATTGCTGTTTAATTGCAACTCCAAGCTGTATAGTCTGTTCCAAGTTGAGATCGCATATTGTTAGACTATAAGTTTATAGTAAAACCTCTTTCGAGTGTTTCCTTTTCGCCATCAGGTTCAGTGCACTTCCTTCTCTGAAGTACTCAATCTGCTCGCCTGTCAATGTGTGACTCAGCTGGATGCTGAAGCTTTCTCGACCTGCTGTTGTTGGCGTAATCTTGACCTCAAGGTTCTTCCCTGGTTGCAAATCTTTGATACCCACAATACTGATGCGGTCAGACGAGCTTATCCGTTCATAATCGCTTTCCTTCACAAACTTCAGCGCCAGCAGTCCTTGCTTCTTCAGATTAGTCTCGTGAATCCTCGCAAAGCTCTTGGCCATGATAGCCACGCATCCAAGGTAGCGCGGCTGTAACGCTGCATGCTCACGGGACGAGCCTTCTCCATAATTATGGTCGCCGATCACGACCCAGGGTTGCGAGGCCTCTTTATAAGCCCGCGCGGTACCCGGAACATCACCGTCTTCACCGGTCAACCAGTTTTTTACTTGATTGACCTTGCCCGTTTCGGCATTCACAGCTCCAATCAGAGTGTTGTTTGAGATGTTCCCAAGGTGGCCACGGTAGGCGAACCACGGGCCAGCGGGCGTGATGTGATCTGTTGTGCACTTGCCCTGAACCTTGATCAGAATAGCACAATTTTCAAAGTCCTGTCCGTGCCAAGGCTCAAAAGGGGCCAGTCTTTGGAGGCGCTTGGATGTCTCCGCAATCTGGACTTCGACTTCGTTACGCCCTGTCGTTGGTGGAGGGCTATAGACGTAGTCGGTGTTGGCGTATCCCCGAGATGGTAGAGCCTCTCCACCCGGAGGCTTGAAGCGGAATTCAGAGCCTGAGGGGGTGACAATAGAGTCCGAAGTGGGGTTGAAACTGAGGTCGTCTGAGAATATTTTCGCCATGACCATTTCTGGTGAGGCTAGAAAGATGTGAGTGGCTGGGTTCCCGTCGAGACGGCCAGTGAAGTTGCGGTTGTAGGATGTGAGAATAGAGTTCTTGACGCCCTGGTTTCGGAGTTAGCATATGCGCTTGAATTCCAACCAACATCGAGCAGCTTACCTTCTCCATATCTTGACGATCCCAAGAACCGCAACACGGGCCACAAGCATTCGTCAATAGCTTGCTTCCAAGCTCCTCAAACACCTGAAGTACTCCATTCTCCTGCAGTGTCTTCCTCGTTTGCTCACTTCCGGGAGACACAAAGAGCGGCATCTTCGGCTGAAGCCCGGCGTCCACCGCCTGTATCGCTAACTCCGCGGCCCTCGACATATCTTGAAATGAGGAATTCGTGCAAGAACCAATGAGTCCTGCAGTCAAGTCCTTTGGCCAACCTTCCTTATCCACTGCGTCTGACAGCTTTGAAATCGGTGTTGAGAGGTCGGGTGTGAATGGTCCGTTGATTATGGGTTCCAGCTCAGAGAGGTTGATGTCGATGATTCTATCATACTGGGCGTCTTCATCCGCTCGCAACTCTGAGGATGCAAAGCGCACTGCATCGGCGATATCGTGGCGATGCGTCGCTTGCAAATACGATCTCATCGCCTCAGAGTAAGGGAAAATCGAAGTTGTGGCGCCCGTCTCAGCGCCCATGTTGCAAATGGTGGCCATGCCAGTTGCAGAAAGAGACTCAGTGCCGGGGCCAAAGAACTCGATGATAGCTCCAGTCCCACCTTTGACTGTAAGAATGCCTGCCAACTTGTTGATGACATCTAGATGCTTGGTCAGAAATCATGGAAGCATAAAGTAGCTTTGAAGCACTTTTACTCACCCTTGGGCGTAGCCCATCCCGACAGCTGTCCCGTCAGCCTCACGCCAATGATATGCGGTGCAGTCAACTCGAAAGGCAACCCAGCCATCACGTCAACCGCGTCGGCGCCGCCTACACCAATTGCAATCATCCCCATTCCGCCCGCGTTAGGGGTGTGTGAGTCTGTGCCGACCATCATGCCTCCCGGAAAAGCATAGTTCTCAAGAACAGTTTGATGGATGATTCCAGCACCAGGTTTCCAAAAGCCCATGCCATACCGTTTGCATGCACTTGACAAAAAATCGTAAACCTCCTTATGCGTGCTCAGGGCCTGCGGGAGGTCTTCATCCTGGCCAGTCCTGCCGACGATAAGATGGTCGCAGTGAACAGTCGTAGGCACGGCAGTGGAGTCGAGACCAGCTGACATGAATTGGATGATTGCCATCTGAGCTGTCGCATCTTGGCATGCGATTCGCCGAGGACGTAGTTTGAGCTGCGTCTTGCCGCGGTGTAGGGGCTCATCGCCGATATTGTCGGCATGAGCGAAAAGCACCTTTTCTGAATACGTCAGGGGTCGCCCAAGGCTGTGATGTAGGTTAGCATGATGTTCGATAACTCAGTATGCAGACTCACATTTTTCGACTTGACTCAATCCGACGCGTGAGGTCGGCATAGTCAATTGTATGATCGGTCTCAAATCGACTAAGTCTCGCCTTGGAGCTGGCTGAGCTCACTGATGCCAGGCCTCTTCTGAGACCAACATGTCGAGTGTGGGGTGAGCCTCTTGATAGGCGCGCCAAGGGTCTGGATGCGTGGAGGTACATCTTGGACTCGGCATTTACTGACTAATACCACGGTTTGTATTCGCCAATCGTGGGACAGGTAATTCTTTTCAAACAATTCACCGTTGGGTGTTTTTGAGCGTTGCAGGGGGCGAATATGACTGCGAGGGCGGTCGATCGGAGCGTTCCGACGCTTCTCGAATAGACCGAGGATCGTCGGCTTTAGCCGAAGGCGTCCCAACTACCCTAGTGAGCACTCACTCTAGACAACGGCTATGAGCGACGATACTTGAGTATATGATTCAACAAAACCACTGAAATTCTAGGCGTGTATTGTGTGCCTATGAAGCCACTCCTTCGTCTACGTCATTGTCGAACCTAATCACCAGCGACGCCGGTGACATGCTCCCGGACTTCTGCGTTGATCTTCTTCATCACTCTCACCAAAGGTGCAAAATCGCACTCCTCCTGAGCTGCTGTCTCGATACTCTGCGCAACGCGGTCTAGCAAGTCCAAATCGGCAGTCGCATCCTCCTCGAGACCCGGAGAGTTGATCATATTGCTGGCGATGTGGGCGTATGCAATGTGAGCCCGGTAAGCGCCCAAGATGTACGAGATGGCCTCAGCTGCAGGGAACCTCCAGACATGCAGCATGAGATAGGTAAGCTCCAGGATCCGACGTGATATCCTGGTCGATAGGTCTGTCTTTGGTATGTTATCATCGGAGGAGATCGGATTAGGCGAGTTCGTCTTGAGGAGTGTCGCCTTTCGAAGCATGAAGATGATGCAGGTGTAGCCATTGAGCAGTAGATCCCCCAGAATCCACAGGTTGATCATATCATTTTCGTGTGCAGATCGTTGAACCCAGTCCTCCTGCCTGCTGTTAGTGATCCCCGAGCACTCCATGACATATTCAGGACTAGGTCATGACTCACGATCCTCCATTCTTCGAGTAGCGACTCGATCTCGTGACAAAGAGGCTCAATAGAATTTACAGCTTCAGATTCGTTATCAAGCGTTTTGATCATCTGAAAAAAATGGATCAGAACGAAGGTAAGTCGGCTGCGGACGAGAAATGCAATGGTTGGCACTGGCGCATCGTTGTTCGGAGTCGAGTCGAGCGAGAGCCACGGCAAGTTGACCTGCCAGCTGTCAAGACTTCGGAACAGCTTTGCCGGCTTGTTGTAAATCAAGTGGTAGAAGAGATCCGTTTGGATAAGCTCCCACATGCCTCGGCGGTCGTCATCGGTTCTCGTGGAACCGGGTTCAGTTACTGCGAAGTAATCGTAGCCATCAAGACTGTGCAGGTGAAGACCTTTGGCATAGTCGCAAGCTAGCTGGTGCATCTCCAAGCTTGAGTCAAAGTCGAACATTTCCGTTGCAACTCCAGTCTAAGAACAATGTATCAGCACATTGATAGATTTTGATAATGATAGGCTTTGGCTCACCATGAAGATGGCAGCAATGAAGTCCGTTATTGACCCGGTCGCTTCCTGCTGCCATGTTGGGATGGCACGCAAACAGCATAGGTAAAGCTGTCTCGCGTACTTTCGATCGGGACTATGGAAGGATCTAGTATTGAGAATGTAGCATCCACGCCAAAGGATGACGTAGTACACAATAAGAATACAAGGGTCGAGGGTGACATGCTTCATGGTCAGCATGTCCGGTATCATTTCAATCATCTTCCTGTCAACCAGACTGAGGAACGTTTCTGTGGGCGTGTAAGTGAAGTAGTCTGGGCCAAGGGAATCAGTCATTAGTAAGAAGTAATCGTGCCTGCGGTTGTGGGAGAATCTCACTGTGGATCCAAGTCCTTGCAAGTTCCGGTGGGATGAGAACACCCTCTGTGGTGATTGCTTGCAGCCCAACAGTGCGCTTCAACCTCAGATCTCGGACCCGATCGAAGGTGTCACTGAGAGTGGAGGCCACATCGAGTGGGGGAGATCCCGGAGAAATGCCCTCGGATGGCTTTGTTCTCAAATGCAAGAGCCCTATGCTGTCCTCAACACAAGGAATCGGAGAAGGATCCCCAGACGGGCTCGGGGTTGAGTATGGTGTCTCAGAGACATCATCGGTAGCACTGCAAGTAGACTTCTGCCGTCGCGACGAGGAGCCTGCAATAGGAGATGAAGGCTTAGGCGAATATTTGCCCTCAATGCGTTGCAGCCGTTCGAGAATCAACGACAAAGTCTCACTTTCAGAACTTTTAGATGGATAGAAGCTGGTAAGCTTTTCATATTGATAAATGATGTGAAACGGAGCCAAACCTTAGATGCCGTGGTATCTCTTTCCTGATACTCTTCCTAGTCCGTCGCTGTGGATAATGGCACGAGAGACCTTGACTGTTGCATCGTTCGCATGTTGGGGTGTCTCGGCTGCACCTGACCTTGACTGGTATTAGTCACCCTGCTCTTATGGATCTTGTTGGTCAGCACATACCTTCTTGCTTCTGCAATTTGTACACTGGTTTGTGATTCATCAGCCAAATTCCCGGCAATCTGTCCTCCGACCCCAGCATAACGTTATGTAGGTCTCGGAAACATGGCCTTGGAGGCGGAATGAGATGGGCGTGAAATGGAAGCTTACCGACAGGCCATTCACGATAACAACCCCTGGCCGATCCATGGAGAGTCAAAGGCTCGGAACATGCAGGCAGAGTGCGAACGTCCGGGGTGACAGCCAATGCGCGGGGGCAGCAGATGATTCAGGGATCGGAAGAACGGTTGGTGAGTACCGTGGGATGAAAGCGGTCGATATTGAGAGATGGAAAAGATGGAAAGTCCCAAGAAGACGCCAACCTGACGCTGATGGATCACGTCGTTTGTCAAGTCCACGCCGCCGAGGGCACAGCGTTCTCCACAAAGAGATCTGGATTCAGAGTCATTCTCGCCGATTGACGAATGAGAAGCTTCTCATCCGCAGCTAGTGGCCCACGTTCCCGAGACTTGGAAAACACGGATCGTTAGCTGCTCCCAGCTTACATCCGCCATTACCCCATTGGGGAGCTCCATCTGCAAGCCGCACCTCTCGGCGGGGTGGTTTGCCCAATTCCCATTGACCAAAAGTTGCGAATGCCAGAAAGCCCCCACTTGTCCGGCACTTCGCACTCTCCGAAAGTGCGGCTTGCCCTCCCGTCCCGCTGTTTCTCCATGCCGGGGGCGACGCCGGATCGGCCAGTCAAGGAACTTCGCACTTTCCGCGAAAACTTCATCATGTAGGGATTCATTTCGAAACTTTGACTTTGAGGCCTTCGAAAGAGTCATTCACACGCGGTGAAGCTGACCGCTGGAACATTCGGGCCCCGTCGCCAAGGACATTTCGTATTGGATGGAATACTTGAAGGCTTCGTGGTCTGCTTGTTTTCTCGTATAGTCGGGCATAGAGATTCAGGTTTTGGTTTGATCTTTTGATTTACAAAGACTTACGTTTGGTATCTTTTTATCACCTGAAGATACACCTTTTCGGTCGATCTTAACTTATCTTTCCTCACTCTTAGTTGTCTCTTGTCACCCTAATCATCTCACGACAATGCCATCAACGGGCCTCTTTGAACATGACGTTCACAAGACCGGTGGTCACCAATACAACCTGGATGCCGACGCCACCCTGTCTGGCCAGTCTGGTGCCGATATCTCAGTCGGCGAGGAGATCAACGAACTAGCCAGGCGCTTGACAAGCGCATCTCACCCTGGTGGCCAGGGCCACTCCTTGTTTCCTGAGCCTTCCGACAAGACACTCAACCCCAACAGCCCTGAGTTTGACGCTCGAAAATGGGCCGCCGAGTTCTACAGGATCCAGACTCAGGCACTGCTTGGCAACGCTCCAAACACGGCGGGCCTGGCCTTCAAAGATCTTCAAGTGTACGGCTTGGGCACCACGATGGACTACCAGAAAACTGTCGGCAACTTCGTTCTCGAAGCAGCATCGCTATTCTCGCCGTCAAAGAGACAACAGCGTATCGATATCCTTCACGGCTTGGAAGGCGTTGTCCAGAGCGGTGAAATGCTCGCTGTGCTAGGGCCCCCGGGATCTGGCTGCACCACACTTCTCAAGACCATTGCTGGCGACACCCATGGCTTTTATATCGCCGATGGAGCGACTCTCAACTACCAAGGCATCTCGCCGGAGGATATGCGGACGAGCTTTCGGGGAGAAGCGATCTACACTGCCGAATTTGACTACCACTTCCCCTATCTGACTGTCGGAGAGACCCTTTACTTCGCTGCCAGGGCACGATGCCCCCAGAACATGGACCTTCCTGATGGCATCTCCAAGCACCAGTACGCGGAGCACCTGCGTGATGTTGTGATGGCAATGCTTGGTATCTCTCACACCAAAAACACCAGAGTTGGAGATGACTTCGTGAGAGGCGTCAGTGGTGGTGAACGCAAGCGAGTGTCTATCGCTGAGGCAGTCTTGAGTTATGCCCCGCTCCAGTGCTGGGACAACAGCACAAGAGGACTTGATTCCGCGAACGCGATCGAGTTTTGCCGAACTCTCCGCATGCAGGCAGACATCTTCCGCTGCAGTTCATGCGTGGCTATCTATCAGGCGCCTCAGGAGGCCTATGATGTGCGTTGAATCCAGACCCCCCAAAGACTTACATCAGAGTTACTTTCATGTGCTAACTGTGAATGCAGCTTTTCGACAAGGTCGTGGTCCTCTACGAGGGCCGACAGATCTACTTTGGGAAGGCGACAGAGGCAAAAGCCTACTTCGAAGGTCTTGGGTTCCAGTGCCCTGAGCAGAAGACAACTGCCGATTTCCTGACCTCCATGACCAGTTCTGCGGAGAGAGTGATCCACCCGGACTGGAGTGGAAAGCCGCCGCCACGGAGCCCTGATGAGTTTGCGCAAGCTTGGAAGGAGAGTCGAGATCGCCAGCTGCTCCTCAATGAGATCGACCGTTTCGAATGCGAATTTCCCCTGGGCGGCGACACTCATGCCAAGTTTCTGGCTACACGACGAGCGCATCAATCCAAGCAGACCCGTCCGTCTTCGCCGTTCACCCTGTCGTTTTTTCAGCAGGTCAACCTCAATCTCTGGCGCAGTTTCAAACTCTTGATCAGCGAGCCTTGGATGACGATCACCATGCTTTCGACCAACTTCTTCGAATCGCTCATTATTTCCAGCATCTTTTACAACTTGAAACCCGACTCGTCGACTCTGTACAACCGCATGCTCCTCATCTTCTACACCATCCTCATCAACGCGATGGGTAGCATCTTGGAAATCCTGACCCTCTACGGCAAGCGCAACATCATCGAGAAGCATGCGCGATACGCCCTCTATCACCCGAGCAGCGAAGCCGTAGCCGCCATGCTTGTCGACCTACCCTACAAGCTGTTAAACTCGCTCTTCATCAACATCCCGATCTACTTCATGACCAACCTCCGACGCGACGATGCAGGTCCCTTCTTTTTCTTTTTACTGTTCTCTTTCAGCATTACGGTTTCCATGTCCATGATCTTCCGCTTCCTCGGCTCGGTCACCAAGACGATCGCGCAAGCATTGGCACCTTCATCTATCATTCTGCTGGCCCTGATGCTCTTCAGCGGTTTTGCCATCCCTCAGGGATACCTTCACGATTGGATTGGTTGGCTACGCTGGGTCAACCCAGTGTTTTACGCCCAGGAAAGTCTTGCACTGAACGAGTTCGTCGGGCGCAACTTCAGCTGCGCTCAGTTCGTCCCCTCAGGCGCAGGCTACGCTGGTTCTTCAGTACAGCCCAACGAGCGAGTGTGTGACATTGGCGGTGCTGCTCCTGGAGCCAACTTCGTCAGTGGCGAAGAGCATCTGCGCGTCGTGTACGACTTTGACCCGAGCCACAGATGGAGGAACTTTGGCATTTTGATGGCCCTCACGATCTTCTTCATGGTGTCGTACCTTTTTGCCGTTGAGTGGGTTTCCTCTCAGAGGTCCAAGGGCGAGGTTCTTGTGTTCACCCGCAACGCCTTGAAGAAGGTGAAGCGAGCAACGAAGGACGTGGAGAACACCGACATCAGCCACTCGTCGTCCACAACTCAGAACCAGAGTGACAGCGACAGTCCAGACATCTCGAAGCAGACTTCGGTGTTCCATTGGCAGGATGTGTGTTACGAGGTGCAGGTCAAGAGTGAGACTCGAAAGATTTTGCAGCATGTCGACGGATGGGTCAAGCCAGGCACTTTGACTGCTCTGATGGTAAGTTGCGGCGAACCCAACTTTTCTTCATCTAGTATCGATGCTAACGTTTCGACTGACAGGGTGTTTCGGGCGCTGGTAAGACCAGTCTTCTTGACGTGCTCGCCAGCCGCGTGACCATGGGCGTCGTGAGCGGTCAGATGCTCGTTGACGGTCATCTACGAGATTCTTCCTTTCAGCGCAAGACA